TTCCAAGCCTTGATGGCCCCATGGATCTCTCCAACACTGAACAGTCCTTTCAACGTCTCACGCCACAGCAAAAGGAGTTTTTTTGATCCAAGGGTTGGTGCATTTATTGCCAATCCAAGAACCACAACACAGACCACTGCCAGAAGCTCCAAGAACGTAACTTTCAAGCCCAGAAGTCCAATGCCATCCTGTTGCGGATCCTGGTCAAGGTGGACCAGTGGTCTCCTCATGTACTCAACATAAAGGAGAGCTCAAAATCTCTGGAATGTATGAAGATGTGGGAAACAGGTGTTTGAGCACCTGCAAACCCCATACGTAACAAAGACGTGAAATACACACGACTTAGTATAAATATAGACAAGCCACGGGGGCGGTAACACACCGTCGATCACACACACAGGTCTCTGGCACATCTGCCAAGTCCTACGAGCACCCACGTGCCATCCACGGCTATTTATGGTCACTGGATGAGAAATTGTGAGGTGTACTGCCAAGACCCCAATAAATCTTTATTTACACAAAGTTGGGACTTTAAACAATCCACCACGATAACACACCTTCACATGACACTCTCACCAAGTCGTCATAAGGTGTCAGACTCTATCACTCTAGAGAATACCAACAGTACTAAGCCAAACTACCTGCAACACCAAGCATTCGACAGAAACACACCAGTACATAGCTTGTGTAGTTGAAACGAAGGTTTGAGCCTGGACAGGCGGTACTTGAGGACCCAGATCTTGCATAAGCAAAGTTCAAAGTTAGTACACCCCAGTCAAACTGACACGCTGAAACGTACATGGACAGCAGGCAGCGCTGCTTACCTGTACACCGTCACTTGGACCCATGGCTCCCTGCCCAGGTGGGAGAGTCCCTGTCAGAGGTCCAAGGATACAGTCATATGCACTTTGGACGCTGGTTGGATAGTTTCTTATTCAAATTGTAACTTTTTGGATTGGTAAAGGCCCAACAGTCTTTGGGGACGTTTGGGGGATTTTCATCTCGGTTCTTTATAATTTCTACTGTGAAAAAATAGAAAACCATGGAGATACCCACAATTTTCCACCCATGAGTGATTCTTTCATGTTCTATTCCAAAGGGTATAAATGGTAGAGCTCCCACAAGGCAAATAAACATCTTCTTAGACCAAAATCATCGTTGTAGCAGCTAGTCCTCAAGTCACAAACCCTCGTACTGCGTGCCACCACCATTTGTACCGACACATCCAGTCTCAATCCAGTTGCCAAGCCTCTTGCCAAGAAAGCCAAGGAAACAAATGCTACCAGTCTAAGTCACAAATCAATGCCACCACTGAAGTCCATTCTGAAGAAGACAAAGCTACCATCGACTCAAGCTCTGTCTTTTAAGAATAATCGTTTTGAGCCTCTCAGCTTTGATGAACCACCCTGCCCTTTGACCACTGCCAACTCTGACTCCACTACTACAGAACCCTTGAATGCATTTGATTATCCCCAGTACAATTTACTCAGCATGAAGAACCACCACTCTTCTGCTTTCTCAGGTGCTCCAGGCCTTGTTATCTGCCAAGGAACCATCCAAGACCATCCAGTCTCTATCCTGATCGACTCAGGTGCTACTCCAAGTTTTATCCACGCCAATCTACTGTTTATCCAAGACAGCTTTCTCCAAGCTCAAGATTACAAGATTAGATGACAAGTCACTCATCCAAGGGAAACAAACGAAATCGTTGCTACTGAAACTCCAAGGAACCTCATTCACCAACTCCAGAAGCTATACTGCCATGCCTGGCCTTGCCTACAACATCATTTTAGGAAATGACTTCCTCAATGATTACAATCCAGAAATCGATTGGCCTTCCAATACCATCAAGATTGGTCCTCATCAATGGACATGCACTCTACCAAGACCTCTACCAGAAGTACTATTGGTACAGCAATTTGACAAGCTGCTACGCAAGAAACCAGACCCAGAAATGATAATCAGCCTCATGATATGCCAGACCTTCCAAGACCAGCCAGACCAGACTCCAGACCAGAGTACTAAGCCAGAACTGACTCCAGACAAAACTTCCAAGCCAGACCAGACTCCAGATGAAATTTTCAAGCCTACTACTGCTTCCAGTAATGAAGCCAACCTCATAGCAAGATCCAAGCTACCTCCAGAAGTCCTAGCCATTATAGACAAGTATCCAGAAGTATTCCAGCCATTTGAAGGACTGCCTCCTTCCAGACCAACCGACATCAAGATTGATACCATCCCAGATGCCAACAAGAACAATCAGCTCCATCTTTTGTGACTACATCGACCAGTTCCTCACTACCTACATTGATGACATCCTTGCCTACTCTGAGACCTACCAAGACCATCTCAAGCATCAAGACCTCATGCTCAAGCATATGAAAGAACATAAGCTCCATATATGACTCCACAAGTGCTCCTTCCTTCAAGATCAAGTTGACTACCTCAGTTACTGTATCCACCAAGGCGCTATCTCTGTTCTACCAACCTGTACCTCTGCCATTCAAGACTTTGAAGAACCCACAAGCTACTAAGAACTTCGATCATTTCTCCGTTTAGCCAATACCATCCACCGTTTCGTCCACCGCCATGCCTTGCTGATAGCTCCACTCTCAGACCTCCTACGTGACCACAAGACTGTCTCCTTTGAAGAGAAATGGAATGACAATGCCAGACACCACTTCTACCAAGTCAAGAAAGCCCTTGCCTCACCAGAAATGCTAGCCATGTTTAACCCCTCCAAGCCTTTGCACCTCTATACTGATTGGTCTGAACGTGCCATTGCCGATTACATTGCCCAGCCAGACGACAAGAACATTGAACATCCAGTTGCCTACTTCTCTCGAAAGTGTAAGAAAGAAGAGTCCAAATACCACCCTTACATGGGAGAAATCCTTGCCTTAGTTGAATCCCTCAAGCATTTCCGCTCCTACGTCTATGGTTGCTCTCAAGTACCAGCCTTTACCAACCACCAGTCTCTCAGACACATCCTTACCCAGCCGAAACTCTGTCCTGTTCACAACTGTTGGCTTGCTGATCTGCTCTCCTATGATTTCAAGATCCAGTGGACACCAGGGGAGTGGAATACAGTTGCTGATGCCCTCTCAAGACGACAATTTGCCTCAGATGCCTCAGTTCAAGTTGACTTTTACCAGAATGCCACCCACGTCTCGTTAGAACTTCCAGATTCAATGCTACTGAACACTACCGAACTCAGGATCACTAATGACCTCATAAATGATATGAAAGACATGAATTCTACCAACCCAGAGTTCCTCAACATTACCCAGTACCTCATAGACCCAGAAAACCCAGACACCTTTGAAAATGATCGTACCAGTGCCCCCAAGGACCTCATAAGCCAGATCTCTCGTTACAGCCTTCAAGATGGACTACTCTACTACGTTGACAAGACCCATGCAAGACTCTTTATTCCAGCACCTCTCAGAAACTCAATTGTCTCCAAAGCCCCCACAATAACTGGGAATGTACTGCTGAACGTATCACACAGTACTTCCATTGGCCCAAGCTCCACTCTGATGTCCAACGATTTGTACAGACGTGTGACTCCTGCCAATGCTACAAGATTGCCAGACGACTTCCTTATGGACTACTACAACCTCATGACGTGCCTCCTCATCCCTGGCACACCTGCTCTATGGACTTTATGACCAAGTTACCAACAGCTCCTTCAGGACATGACTCTCTCATGGTTGTTATCAACTCTCTCACGAAAAGAGCACACCTCATACCTTGCAAGACCACCAGTACTGCCAGAGACATTGCCAACCTTTTTGAAGACTACATTTTCAGACACCACAGTATTCCTCTCCACTACATCTCTGATAGAGATTCCAAGTTCACCTCTCTCTTCTGGAAAAGCTTTTGCCAAGCCCTTAAGATCAAGCCACTACTGCCCATCCTCAAACCGACAGTCAAACTGAGCAAAAGAACAATTAGATCCTTCAAGCCTTACGTCAATTCGTGAACTATGAACAAGATGATTGGGATACACACCTTGCCAAAGTCGAATTTGGTATCAATGACACCATCAACTCTGCTACCAGTCACACACCCTTCTACCTCGAATATGGATGACACCCTCAGTCTCTCTTCAATATTGATTTCTCAGTTTATTCTCCACTGTCACTACAAGGCCTCAAGGCTACCAAGTTGTCAAAGATCGAATTTGAGACACTCAAGACCGCTACTCTGCAGTTGCCAACTGCTGCCACCTGTGTTCTCCATTCCAAGTTGGTGACCTTGTTCTGATCTCACTCAAGGATTTCAAGCCACCAAACCTTCGGTACAGACCTTCAAACAAGCTCTCAGACCAGTATACCGGTCCTTACAAGGTCACTGAACTTATTGGAAAAACTCCATCCTGCAAGCTTGATATTCCTTCCACTTGGGACGTGCATCCAGTCTTCCACCCAGAAAAGCTCAAGCTCTACTACTTCAACAATAACAAGCACGCATTGGATTCCCAGCCCATGAAATTACGCGTCATTGACCAAATCCTGCACACCAGAACACTTGACAACAAGCAACAAGTCCTTGTCTCATGGAAAGATCATCACCCAGTGTATAACTGTTGGCTTGATGCAACTCCAGAACTGTTACAACGCTTCCAGACCCAAGATCAAGATGAAACCACAATTCTTTGTCATCGCTACACTCTTGGAGGCAGGTGTAACGTAAATAACCCTGACTTCCAGAGTCTTTGGAACCCTGACTTCCGAATTCTTACGTGTCATTTCTTTTAGTCACTTTTCAATCTCTTTCTTCGACATTCCAAGAATACGGGTATAAAAGACCTTCCTTTGATCTACAATAAAGAACATCTTATCCTCTGAATATTCTAAGACCTCCTCGAAATCTGAGCCCATTCCTTAACATCAACTGTGCGCCTGTAGCTTAGTGAGAAGAGCGTCTGAACGTTAATAACGATTTTCCACCGGGGGTCCCGGGTTCAAACCCCGGCAGGAGCCTGTGTACAAGCTCCTGTAGCTCAGATGGAAGAGCACTGGTATGAAAAACTGCAATAAACATCAGAAGACGTGGGTGCAGTTCCCACCAGGTGCCTAACAACCTCTTTATTCTCGCCTCTTTTGGGCGGGACAATCACATTACACCGATCCCTCCGGCAGCGCACAATGCCGGGCCGAACTACTGCGGCTTGTTAGTTCAATAAAGGTGGCTCAAAGCTTTGTCACCACCCGTTCTGCCGTTATACTGTTCTTCTCACATCTTCGATAGCCTTGCATTGGAGATGAGAGAACGCCGCTGCGTGATCACAGCTTCAGGAGACGTGGGGCAGCAACCACGCCTTTTCTTCAGTCTCGCACTTTCATGAGATGATCAGTGCTCCCACACGTGCACAGACGGACAGACAGACGGACAGGGTAAATTCAAACACGCTTTTATCGTCAGTTTAATCAGGACAAAATCCAATCAATTAACGCAACCAACCAACACAAGCAAAAACAAACACGAAAATGACGGCACTCACTGCGGCATACGTGCACAGCGTCGTGATTGCAACCTTCTTCTACGCCCTGGCATGCGCTGTGGGTTTGTACGGCTCCGCAATGGCGATTCACCGGCTTCGTTACCGACGCTCCAGCACCCCAGTGATGGCGGCCATCCTTGTCTGCAACCTGGGGCTGCTGGGCGAGATCCTTGCGTTCGAATGGGGGGTGCTGGGCTGA